AATAGAATAGCGACCGCACAATTGTAACGAGTCATCGAATTTCGATGGAGAGGTAGAGGGGGGGTGTGGGGTAAATCACCGACACATTACATAATGTTTCTTTATGCACTGCTGGCTGAAGCACAGACGGTTAAGGTGCAGCCCTGCATTTTTGTTCTATTGAACTGAACTATTCAATGAATTTGTTATTTTACCAGGTAAGGCCCACTGAGCTATGTAGCTCTTTTTCAGAAGTGGCCTGGCCACAAATGATAGCTCAACAAAGCGGCTTATCACGTGGAAATGTATAGCGGCTAAATTACTCTAAACGCGTGTTTCTAAAGTGGAGCGAAAACACGGAGGACCCCGTGAAGAATCCACGCGACCACGGGAGGAGAGACACACAAACTCCAAATATACAGCAGGTGTGAGGATAGGGATTGAACCCATGGCCTCCTGAATACCAGATGATATATTTAACATCACGCCACCACTTAGCCTCACAAAAACATCTCCAGAGCCTATTTAGAGGGTATTTGGCTTACTTTTCCATACTGGCCGAGACATCTTGAAAGAGGCTGGAGTTTCCCCCGTTCGCCCCACCACGTGATCGCCTGTGGTGTGCCTATTTCCACTGTTTGGTTGGACACGGGTGGGGGAATTAAGAAACTCGCACAGTTGGTTAAACTGCCACACCGACACATCAAACGGGTGATCTCGAGATAGCTAGACCAGTGTACGAACCATGGTGGCAACTATGTAGTTTTGTTTAATCTACAAGAAAACTGTAGAATGTTCTATTTATTCAACGTTCTTTGATCTTAGAAGCCGACGGGTTGATTGCCACTGGCTCAGGGTGTTCATTTGTAAATTATATTTTTACAAACATTGCGCCCTCAAATTCTGCCCAATAAATCACCAAGACCGTGCTGTAGTAACTGATCCAGGTCCCCCTGGTGTTGGCCAAATCATGTTCAAAGGAAAGAGATGGGTGGAGGTGCCTCGTGGATTTTGGTGGTGCTGGGTGGAGCCTCTCAAATGTAGCTTGTCTAGCCTGAGGCTACTCCTTGCCAGCACGAGTCCATTTCCCATCACCCAGAACCGAGTTTGAGTTGAATTATCGCGCAGTGTACCCCCCCTCCCCCCCCCAGAAGCATTTACAAAGTCGAACAAGACGAATAATGGATTGAACAACTAACCCAGTTGATGCGCGTTATTCCTCCCCGACTTTCTACCTTAGCCCTTTTTGAAAACAGCCTCGCTATTTTACTCAATTACTCTCTTTCACTTGTTTCTTGTAACATATGTGTTGCTTCCTTTACTGGTGGCGGGGGGCATTACCCGAGTGATCTCAGAGCCCCCCCCCCGCCACGCCAACAGCACACCAGACAGAACCCGCGAATACGTACATGTCACGGTGACGGGAAAGTGCGTGTTCTATTACGAAGTGTTAGTCGTTCTACATGTATCAAGGATAATTTAGAAAACGTCGCCTAGATGTCAAATATAGATACTAGTGAATTAAGTTTGTAATGCGCATTTTCGTTGATGGTACATAATGCCGTTGTTGCGCAACACCTCTATGCACCTATTTTATCTCGCTTTACTTTTGTCGGCCGTGTAATTTGGCATTCAGGCAATTAGGAAAATTTATTGGAGGTGGTGCAAAAATCAATGCGGAAGTAACTGAATTATTGATATCGCACTTATTGCGTGAAATATCGTTTTTGTCGGGCTCTTCAATACAAAGAGAGTGGTACAAAGTCTATTGCATTTACTTTTTGTAATTCATGAAAAAAATCCAGATAATTATATTTGTTGTGTGGCAAAAAAAAATGTAAGAATCGCATGACTTGTAAAATATGCCGGCACCAGATTTCTCAGGCTCACTCTTCTATTTCATTAACATCGTTCAAAGACTTTGTAAACAAACAAAAAACATGCCTCATAAAACACACTTCGCAAAATCTGACAAATTATATAATTGTAATTGCCGTTCTGCTCTCTTGCTGCGTGAACACTTGCATATGCATATTCTATGTCATTAAAGCAAAGTAGGTTCTAATTAGGGTTGAACAATGCCTTTAAAAACAAATTTTAATTAATCTTGCGCTTTCATTGTTACGGGAGTTTCTCGGTGAGCGGTCTAACCGTGCCACGCCCGGCGCTGTGAGATATCGCCGGCCAGTGACTGCATTTGCAGAAGACGTCCTTTGTCGAGCCACCCCCTGGGCTAATGCTGCTTCCGATTGCCCGAGAGCTCACAGAAACCACGCTTCCAATACCTGCCAGGCCAGATGGCCGGACATGATAAAAATCAATACGTCCTTCCCTCCACTCCCAGCGTCTCACATTACCCTCATAAATATCTCAAAAATAAAGGCTGATCGAGCAACTGGATATGCCGAGAGCAAACCGATAGCTTTCAAGCCTTTGCACCGCATGAAGGCAACATCAGAGGACAGGGCACAGCATTGCAAAAAGCGATATGCTCGGCGTTTAAGATGTTCAACGAATTCGCGATGTAATTCTTGTAAAGTACGTACTTACAATACACACATCTAATCCTTTTGTGAAAATATGGCACCGAAGCAGACTCGATTATCAAGTTATCGCTAATACTTTGTTACAAGAGGCACAGACAGCACTCAAACTCCATTACCTTTTCATATGGAGTTCAATTTGAAACTGTGTTTTTTTTTATCTGGTCAATATCTCTTCGACAACTTATTGGTTCTTTCGGTAAAGTCACGTAGAATGGAAATAATAAAATAATCCAAATAAAACATAATAATATAAAACATTATAAAATATTTTATTATGTTTTATTTTTATTATATTTTATTATGTTTAATTTTTATTATTTTATTACTTCCATTCTACGTGACTTTACCGAAAGAACCAAGAAGATGAATCCCTGCAGTCACGAAAGCTTTAAAATCGAAATCTCTTCGACAACTTGCACTCATTTGAATTAAAATCGGTAGCGTTCATGTTCATAAGAAGGAAAACGTATTGCACAATCATCTGTATGGCTGTTTTAAAATGTTATTCATAAACCTTTCAATAAAGACTCTTTACAAGCGCCAAAAAAAGTATTTAACTCAAAAACATGATAAGATCTTCTTGGTTCTTTCGGTAAAGTCACGTAGAATGGAAATAATAAAATAATAATTAATAATAAAACATAATTTATGGGAAATGCAAATATGCTAAATTCCTCTTGATATGCAAATTATTTTGTCAAGGCGCTCTTCCCCCCTCCATCCCAGCTTAATTAGTCGCTCCAAGCCTGGGGTGTGTCATTCAGACTCTGTCTTCTCGACAGACCTGTTCTCCACCTGAGAACGGCTGCTTGCGTTGTGGCCGAAACGTCGTGAGAATTATTTTATTATGTTTTATTTTTATTATTTTATTATTTCCATTCTACGTGACTTTACCGAAAGAACCAAGAAGATGAATCCCTGCAGTCACGAAAGCTTTAAATCGAAACATGATAAGAGTATTTTACTTGTTAATTATTACCTGCTTACTGAAAATTAGGGCAACAGAAATTAGTTTGAACATCTACCTGCTTGGACTGCGATTAGCCATAGCTTTGGCTCCCACAAGCGAATGCAGCAGCGTCTACCATATATGCCCTAAAACAACAGAGTACGTTTGCGGTTAACCGAGTCACTGTATACGGAACGCGAGTGAGTTTCCATTGAGATACCTCAGCTCTCCGAGGGATACACACACATGTGAATTATTTCAATGTTAACATCAAGTCCCACAAACGTGTGCTATGTTTTACTGTTTTCACGAAAGAGCTGAAAATTAGAATCTCACTGCACTGACTCTGGCCTAGGGCATTGTACTCCCATAACAGCAAACACGCAAACGGGGAAAGCATGCGGTCATTCGCAGAGGGCCAGACACCCTTGGAATGGGCTTTCGGCAAGGCAGGCAATTGGAGTCATGGTCAGATACGAAACCTCCAAATTTTATTATGGAGCGAGGCAAGAGCACTTCATTAATCAGCATGTGCAGAAATCAGATTAGGACATTACGCACTGCAGTAATCTGTTATTGACGAAACAGCAACATGGAGTATTGTATGGCCCCTTCCTGCCAGAAAACCAGTATATATAGGCTCTGTGTATTGAATGTAGTTGCTGTTGTCCTGCATTGATCACTTGACTACGTGGTGTTTGTGAATACTGCCGTATTCCCTCGTTATTTACGAACTAGCAATCCGCAATTTTGGCTACATGTGAATCGCATCTGGAACTCTACACGACTGCTTCGAGAGAGAAAGAGAGGAACGTGATGAGTGATCAAGTGATTAGAGATAAAGTGATGGGAGAGAAAGTGATGGGAGATAAAGTGATGGGAGAGAAAGTGATGGGAGAGAAAGTGATTAGAGATAAAGTGATGGGAGAGAAAGTGATGGGAGAGAAAGTGATTAGAGATAAAGTGATGAGTGATCAAGTGATTAGAGATAAAGTGATGGGAGAAAAAGTGATACGATAGAGGTGACAGAGATATAGAGAAAACTTCTCGAAGCTTCAGAAGCATCTGCAGATGTTGCGACTGCGATATTCGTATGCCAATATCATTATCCACTAACTATTGCTATCAAGAGCATCTCTGAAATGTATCCCTCGAGAATAACGAGAAGATACTGTATGGTATGAATAAACACAATCTGAAGGACACATCTGGATGCTCGCAAATAGCTCTAAACTGCCGAAGTCTCCAAAATTGCACAAACTTGATGCTCTTTAGCTCTCATTTAGACGTAGAATGTTTAGCAATGACAAGTTTTAAATACACTCTTGTGAATTTATCTGTACACATGAAGCACTACAGAAGGAAATATGCAAATACCAACCACAAAAAATATAAACGTGTCCGAAATATGTTTCACATCATGTTGTGCTTATCGATTAATGCGCGATATGAAAGCGTCAATGCACAAGTACTGTCAACAATGTTTTCACTCAAGAGCGACGATTTTGAAATGTTATTTTGACCACCTTTAGCGAGTGTTTCACGAAGGACATCTCATCTGCATGAATGAGCTCCATCCATTTGTCCACCACGACGCAACTTGGCTTCCCCCATGGCCATCGCTCAAAACCAGCCGTGACCCGAGCCTGGACATTGTGACACGTGCACCACCCAGAAGAAATGGCGTAAACACAACGCGCCGTGCGAGCATCGATAAATCGCAGCGTCACCACGTCTCTGTCCACCCCATGGCTCCATCTCCAAGCTGTGTCATTATTTCTGGCCAGGCGATGATGGAGTGCCATGCTGCACTGATATATGAGCCGCAGAACCAGCTCTGAATTAAGGCTACGGTTTACCCCAATGTGTGTGTGCGCACAAAGACAAAGATCCCCCGTATAGCCTTGACAGACTGTAGGGGCAAGTGCTGCTAGCGAGCACCGATAAAGGCCGGCACGGCACACGAGGGGGGTGGGTGGCCAACACCACGCCCGGCCGCCTTTGTCTCCCTAGTGGCGATGTTTACACACCGCACCAGGTACTCATTTGAGGCTGAGTCGACACACGTGTACACAGACACACAAATACAAAGATCCCCCCCTATGGCCTACACAAGCTGTTGGAGGGAAAGTGATGTTAGCGAGCACCTATTAAGGCTGTCGTGGTGCACGTGGTGGTGGTGTGGCCAACACCACGCTTGGCCGCCTTTGTCTCCCTAGTGGCGATGTTTACACACCGCACCAGGTACTCATTTGAGGCCGAGTCGACCTAGAGGAGGCCCAGGACCGGTTAAGATATTACTTGCCACTGACATTAACCGTGGCCAGGAATTGAACCGATGTCATCGGGATTGTAGCATTGCACACACACACACACAAGTGATGACAGAAACATCAAAAATAAATTACTAGAGCACTCTTCATAGGACATGACAGATGCTTGCTAATTTAGCTTTCTACTCATCGCGGTGTGTTATCTCTTGATTTAAATCTGCTTTGATTCCATACAGTTTATTTAGTAATCATAAAAAGAAGCTGCCAAATTAAATTTTGGATCATCCAAAATGCTTCTGATCATTGAAACAAACAAACTACAGTAAATTAAAAGTTAACGCAAAATAAACAAGAGCAGCGGAAGTTAATGTAAATTAGATTTAATTCTCCAACGTGATACAAAACAAATGGACAACAATGATAATTAGAAATTAATCATGTAACTTTAAAGCGAGGTGAGAGACAACCGATGTGAAGAATTGAGAGCCCATAAGCCTCGCATCTTAAAACACATCGACACAAGGAGTTCTTGAAGATCATTGGGAGCAGAATCACGGTCAATTTATAAACCAACCACTCACGAGAATAAGCGGATTAAAAAAAATGTGTATTTATACCAATAACCACTCACAATGGGTAAGCGGTCAAATGTTCCCTGACCTTTGTAGACGATGAGAACGGCGTTTTGAGTGAAGTGGAAACTGGCGCAGTCATTCAAGCACTCCCAAACTAAAGCCATGATAGATAAAATATTTGTATTTTTATATATGTTTTAAATATGGAACAAGCACACTGAGATCGCATAAAGAACTCGATAAAAGACAAATAGGATGAGTTTCAAGGCAAGGACATCTGCAGAGGTAAATGATTGAAAGTTTTAAACATGTCATAATTTATATTCTTGGTTCTTTCGGTAAAGTCACGTAGAAGGGAACTAATAAAATAATAACATTTCTCTTCTACGTGACTTTACCGAAAGAACCAAGAATATGAATCCCTGCAGTCACGAAAGCTTTAAATCAAAATGTCATAATTTCTGACAGTAATTCTGAACAACCCATTGCCGGATGATGGCCTTCCCACGCCGTATGAGTCGTGGGAGTGTTTTTGACCATACTTCCCTACGCTAGTTAGTGAGGGTCAGTGTAGGCAGGAAGCTTCGATGTGCGAGCATGAAATACAATCCAACAAAGCATTTTACTGCACCGTAGAAGAGTCGTGGATTGGTATGCAATCACCATATTCATACCTACAAATCTTACTTAGCAATTAAGACCATTTTAATAAACAAATGCCTTGAAGCAAGTTCAATAAAAATGTAATTACTCTAATATATAATTGTGTGCGGTATATGTGAACTGCGAAAGGAGGCAATGTTTTAATAAATATGCATGGCTGCAAATTGCCTAGCAATAGCAGCCACAGAAAGAAAAAAAAATACAGCACTTAAACACAATGCGACTCCCTATTCACAAAATCATTAGAGTCCAGTTTAACAAAGTTGGTATATGACAGATCTATTTATACCCACAACATGTTATCAAGATCAGCGATCAGAAGTAAGTTGACACATCCCAAACCTTTACCGTGACTATAATTTATGTTTTTCATTTGATACCAAGGGGAAACATATGTGACGGCACTGTGTGCATACTGCCTCTGCTGCCTCGACATTATTGCGGTGTGCCAGAATGTGTTGAGCCGTTGCCAGGAATTAGTTTGGTTGGTCATGAATGTTCGTGTCAAATAAGGATGTACAGACTATTCAAACCTTTCCACGCGAAAACGCAACTGGTAATCAGAATCAGAATGTAAAGGGTGTGCAGCAAATAATAATACTGTAGTCAAATGTGGGTACGATACACATTGCTAACAGATTGAGTTCTCTTTCATTGAATACACCAACCTGACAGCATGGCTTCATTCCATACGAAAGGTTCGCACATTCCAAACTTTTCAGGCGTACAACATCTTGGTGCGCACAGCGTTTCCATATTCCTCAAATTTGTGCACGTTTTTTTCACGAAACATGGGGGGGGGACTCAACGTAGCAGCATTTAAAACGCCACCCTCAAAAGCTCTCACATTTCCTTTCTAAGAAAGGAATGTACCTGCAAGTCCAGTATCGTTTACATGGAACACAGTTAATCCTTTCAGTGCAACGCTTAACGTGGTCATTTTCACTTGAGTGTTTGATTTTTAGCCGCCGATTAAAATGTACGTCAACTGGGGTGGGATATTTTTTTTTGAAACATTTTGAGATGACGAGTGCGCGACTAGGCCTCGGGCAAGGTAAGGTAAAAGTGTAAAAAAACAACGAGCCTACCTTTACCCTACCTTTTACCTTACCACAATACAATCACTCTACCCTACCTTTTACCCTTTAGCAGGTAAGGTATAAGGTAAAAAGCAACGAGCCTATCTTTACCCTACCCTTTACCCTTACCCCTTGGCATGTCGACACCTTTACCCTTTTACCCGGTAAAAAGGGTAAATTACCTTACCTCGCCGAGGCCTAGCGCGACCACACGAGCACAAAATGCCCCCCCCCCCCCCGTTGCTCCACTGTTCCACCACAGGGGGGGGGGGGGGCATCATCGCTCACAGCCGCCGACTGGAACGCAACAGAGCCCCAAAAAAAACGGTTGCGACAAAACAGAGGGGGCTTTGCATCGATCAAGAAAACGGTGAGTTTTTGTGCGACGTTTCGATGACAACACGGAATTCTTTCAATATGACGCGTAGAAATAACCGTTTTTTTTCGTTGTCAAAAAATATTTTAGATTCGTACGCAGGTGGAAACTTCTATCTAGTAGGTATGCTATAATTATACTGAATAATATTGTTTAATCGCTTACAACCATTTAGCAATCCACTGCTAGATGAAGGCCTGCCAATGCCGTACCAGTGATGAGGGATGTTTGAGCACACTTCACTCACTGGATCAGTGTGGGCTGGTGAAGGTGGGACACCCTGCACAATTTTAGATATCACCTCGCCACTGACTTCACCCATCGCGAGGGAACCACACGCAGATGAGCCAAACCACCGTTCCACCGCTTTAACAGACTGTTGGGGCAAGTGCTGTTAGCGAGCAGCACCTATGAAGGCCGGCACGGCACACGAGGGAGTGAGTGGCCAGCACCACGCCCGGCTGCCTTTGTCTCCCCAGTGGCAATGTTTACACATCGCACCAGGTACTAATTTGAGGCCGAGTCGACCTAGGAGAGGCCCAGGAGGGATTCACATAATCTTCAATGGTGTTGGCCGTAAGCGGGGTTCGGAGCGCAGCACGCTATCCGCTACTCCCCCGCTCCCCACACAGACACATTTCACATACACGCAGGATCAGCATGCTCCAGTGAGAGTGAAAAACCAAAATAAATACAATTCGTTGTTTTGGCACACTTGCTCCAGTTTGCGACAACAGGACCCAGTAGCTTCTACGCCCAAACAGCAGCCGCGAATGAAGGTTAGGGTTGCCACCTGTTACGTTTTTTCCAGGATTGTTCTCTTTTTTTCGATAGCTGCCATAGGATATCCGTAAGCCTTAAAAGTCCTGGATTGTGTCCGTCGCATTTTAAAACACCACTCAAACAATGCAATTACATGTCGTTATCCCCCTCTTCAAGTACAGTGATATGTCCTACTTCCAACAGTCTACTATGGTTTATTTTTTTGCCACTCATACGTGGCACCACCAGCGAAGAAACAGTCCCCTTGGAGCTGCCAGCATTGGTGAGCGATAAGCCATGGGCAGCTTTGGTTTGGATTGGAATTGCCCAGCACCGAAATCAAATCTGCTCGGGTGGTCGACGCTGTGCTATCGAGCAAAGGCTTAGGGCAGTGGCTGATTCATGTTAAGCCAACTTCAGCTTAGCCCAGGGCAACATTTTTACTTGGCCTAAATGTCTTGGTGCAATGTACATCAAATCAACGTGGGAATCTCATGCACAGCGAAGCGATGCACACGCGTTTCCGTGTGTTTTGATGATCTGTGTTTTTAAGTCGTATTCGGAATGTACTGTGGTTACTTTTACTTGTTTGACGTGTTTGTGGCGCTTGTACTTATCCATCCGATTGTGGCTATATCCGAATGTATGGCTACTTAAAATAATGAATGTACGATTGATAAATGTACTAACGGCACATTTTCTAAAAACGAATGCGATGCAAAATACAAATACGTTCAAAATTACATATTCGTTAAATTTGCATTGCAAAAAATTTCACAGTGCAGATGCCATTATATTTTCGGCTTTGTTTTCTCAAAGATAGTTCACATTCTACCGATGCTACCACATCATATGGGCTTAATCTTGTGCAATATAATTTCACTTTAAGTGTAATTAATTTGTTTGTAACATTTTTCA